CGCGGTTTCAACTAATGGCTTGTGGTGAGCTCTGCAAATTGCAGTTGCACTCATCAAAACTTATTAGTTATTCATAGTGTGAATCAAACCATAGCCTACACTTGAAATTCGTGAAACTTATAAAGTTACAGACTTTTCAAATGCGTAAAAACTTATTTAAATAACATAATCCATATAATATCTGTTTAAGCTTGGTTTCGTTTGGCCAAATAAATAATATTTAAATGTATAGGTAATTATATTAATTTCAATAAATTCAAAATTTCTTACTTTCTTACTTATCATTCATGTATTCATATAAAAATAAATAAAATCGATAAAAATATTTTACAATATTTTTCAGTTTGGAAATTTTTTCTTGATTTTCTCAGATATTAAATACTTTTACTCAAATTTCTTTTCAAATCAATTCAGGTCGCAGTATTACAAATTCGTCACTCAGAAAATATTTATACAAATATTCATTCATAAGCTTTTCGGCTCACATTATTCCTGCTTCGAGTCAGTTTCAATACAAAAATGCTGAGCCACCTCGACTTCCATACAAAAATGTATCCGCTTTTCAGCAGGTATTTTCGCTGCTGTCATGTGAAACGCCCATTACGGCGCCCAGCGTGAAAGCCCTTAAGTATGCTTGGCGAATTTTTACACTATTTCTGCTCCACCATTTCCGTTTCCGGGCGTTGCTGTTCTCGCTTGTTTCTGGTTTATTTTCGTTTGCCGTTGACAGTTCGCAAAATGTGCGACAAGTTGAATTAAATTCATTCAATTGTTTTCAATGTTTGAGTATTTTTCAGCACAAACAAAATTGTTTGTTTATTTGCATGTCAAATTGTTCATGTGCCGCGCGTATACTTAATATTTGTAGTAAATATTTATGCATGCTTATTCATGTTGATATTTCGTTCGCACGCCCATTTTATGAACAAAGTGCGTGTGAGGACATTGGAGCTGATTTTCTTTTCATTCACTCTTGTGATTAATTATGCCAATAAAATGAAGGCAAGGAAACGCACAACATTAAAGCTAATTATATTTAAGAGACTGTGCTGCCTTAATGTGCATAAGTTGTTAATAAGCTAAGTAGTTTAAATCAAGTGGAGATACATATTAAAAAACTTAAATCCTGAAACTTCCAAATTGTTATATCATTTAAATTAATTGTTAAAGTGTGTATACGTTATATTTAAAATAAAAACAGCTTTAAGAAAACTTTCAAAAGTATAAAACCTACTAACTGAATCTGATTTATATATAGTTCGCCTCACCAAGTGCTCTCTTATATTAATCTTTATAAAATATGAAGTGTATATACTGACCAGTTGACTCCTTGACCAGCAAAATCAAAAAGGTTTCATCTCATTCAGTGATTTTCGAATAAATTTGTTTCTTAATAAATGCATTTAGATTTCTCCATTGATTACTGGCCTTAAATTACATTTTCAGCTGAATAGAACTTTGTATCTGATATATGCCCTTTGCTATGCATTTCTTTTGAGCACTCGAAAATTGCCCGAGTTCTGCTGTCGGCAACAGCAGCATGAATTATATTACGTTATATGGGAGAGTTCACACAGCGGACTAATCTGGGCCATAACTTATACAGTTGAGAGCAGCAGGACTTGTACGCAGCTAGAATGCGCTTGGCAAACATTAGCAGCGCGTGCAGCTGGCAACAGCAGCAGCAGAAGAAGAAGCAGCAGCAGCAGCCATATGGCATGCGGCATGAGGCATGAGGCATGCGGCAATTTGCACTGAAAAATGCAATGAGAGCTGGCCTTTTCGAGTGCCATCCAAAGCAAAATGCATAGCGAAAGTTTTTCACATATTCTGCACAAGTATAAATATATTTGTTGCCTCACATGCCATTGCACAATCTCAACAGGAACAACAACAACAACAAAAACTGCAATATCAACAACAACAACAAACTGCAATAGCTTCTGGCTATGTAACTCGTATTTGTAGTCCTTTATGCGTTCTGTAATAACAAACGGCGCGCCAACAATGCGAAGGTCCTTCTAATGAGCCTGACCCAGAATGTTGGCTTTCAATGCAATTCCCTTTGGCCATAAAATGTCAACACACAACTCTAGATGCTAAGTCTTTAAGCAACGTTTGCTATTGCTATTGCTATTGCTATTGCCCTTGCAACTGCAATTGCACTAGCAGCTGCAGTTACTGCTGCAGCTGCTGTAAATGCAATCAGCTGCACAGTGAAACGTGTTAGTTTACCAGGCAAAGTTCACACTTTGTATGTTCTGCCAGGTACTAAATGTAGTACAACTTCTCAAAGTCCTGTTCAGTAGTTGATCCTTTTGTAGTTATTTTTGCTGCAGTTTGCTGTTCATGTTGTTCATGTGAAAAGTTCTGCAACATTCAGACGACAATGCTTGTTGTAGAGAGAGAGAGAGAGAGAGAAACGTCAAATTGTAAATACCCTAACAGTCATATTTTATTTATTTTAATTTATATGCAAACAAAATTTGTACATAAGATTATCTACGTATTTAAGACGCAGAGTATAGTGTATCTCATGTTAAATTGATGAACCTTATAAGTTTTTATATTATTGTTTCATCTAAGACTTAATGTAGATGGATTAAGTTAATCATAACATTTAAAATTTAATCAACGTCATCGTCAAGATATGTAGACATATAATATCTTTATATATGAAACTTAAAATATAAAGATATATATAAAGATAAATATAAAATAATTAGTCTCGTCATTTTTTAAATAAATAAGCTTTCGTAACAATTACCTTTATTTCTACTGTCATATATTATTGTATATCTTTTGGATCGAAAATTCTGCTTCTTGCATTCAATTTAAAATATTGCATATTGTGTATAGCCGCTGTGAGTTACAAAATGTATGACATAATTAGAATACTTTACAAAACTGCACAAAAGCAACAGAAAAATAACAACAACAACAACAACGGCAACAAGTTGCCCCCAGGAGCCCGCATTGATTGTGTTACGTTGCCCAACTCATTTAGCGGCAGCTGTGCGAAAGACTAAAAAAAATGAGGTGCTACATGTCCGTGACGCACAGGCCGTGACCGCCGTAAAGTGGATATGCCACAGGAGCCGCAGCCAGCAGACAAAACGCCTCCCGCAATTTCCGAACAGGACAAACGCTTAGTGCACATCCTGGCGCGGCGGCGACTGGAGCTGCAGCTCATCCGTCGTCTCATCCTCAAATTGTTTTTGTTTTTCTTTTCAATATTTTTGTTGTTGCTGCGAATTGTTGCTTTGTTTCAACGCCCGCAGCTACCGCACAGCAGACAAGCAGCAACAACAACAACAATAACAAAAGCACAGTAATTTATGCTTGTTATTTTGCTTTGTAAAGCAATTTATATCGCATTCTCCTTGTTATAAACATAAGTACATATTTAACTCACAGCGCTCGTTGCTGATATGATCCGGCGTGAGCGTCGGGGTCAGGGCAGTCGGACTGAGGCGATTTACCCTGCTGCGCTTTGCTCTGCACGAAGCTAGCTGAGTTTAGCTGCGAGCTGCAAGCGAAAGAGACAGCGAGAACATGCCACATTTCGTTAAAGCTTATCACACACACACACACACATACACAAAGTTACTCAAACTCACGCACACAACTTTGCTGCGTGTTGGCTCTAATCCTGTTAGTTGCGCTTTTTTTAATAACATGTTATAGAGTATTTTTTGAGGGTTGTGCAATTTTCTATTTAAGTATAGAAAAGTTTGAAACATTTTTATACATTCAAGAAAAAATACGCCCAAAATTATGGCCGTATATTTTATAAATTATCAACATGATCACAATTATTATATTAAGAGTATTTTACTAAATTATAAAATATTTTAAAAATTGTTTTCCATTTTACTTTTTCCAATAAATATGCGAGAAACAGAAAAATTACAAAACTAATTTGAAATACTTAACCATTTCCACGATTTAATAGCTCTATATTCATCTGATTTCTTTAATTAGTCCATCTATAAATTTTAAAAATAAAATAAAAATAAAAATATAGCTAATATGCAAAGCGTGGTTCTTTCATTCCTTCAWCTATAAATTTAAATATAAATATATTAAAAAGTAGTCAGTATAAAAAAGGTTTTTAATTTATTAATTAATTTATATGTGTATTTATATATTTATTTCTGTATATATATATAATTGTGTTATCAAGCAAAAATTGTTGAAAATAACTCTGCCATAATACTTTTCCCATATCATTAAAATTTGACTTTTGTTAATAAATTTTAATTTAGCCAAAAAGAAAAAAAAGAAAATACAGCTATATTATTAAAATATTGCATTTATGTACATGAGTCCTATATTTAGTCAATTAGATTTCAGAGAAGACATAATAATTACAATTAATATAATTATAATATATAGAAATCGGAAGGGTATTTTCAAGGGTCTGCAGAGCAAATGAAAATGTTCGTTCTCTTAATTTTTCTAAGCTCTCAAATAGTTGCACGGACGTCCCGTGGTCAGCGCAGCGGCAGCTCAAAGCTGTGTTTATGTGGGCGCTTCTGCTTGTGTGTGCGTGTCTGTGCACGCACGTACACAGGCGTATTTGAGTATGTGTGTGTGTGTATTGTATGCTATTAATTTRAAGCTCCACCCACAGGGACATGCACACAAGGCCTCACGCCCTGTCTACACGCTAAGCCAATAATGAACTGGCTGTCAAACTAATTGATTTAATTTTTAGATTTTTTCTTTCAGAATGCTTTGAAATATGCAACAGCTAATTGAAAATACTTTAGGGTTGGTGCACCAGATAGAGCTGGGCTAGGGGGTAGTTGAAAGTAGTTTTTCATGTTAAGCGCAATTCGATTGCCTTACGTAACTGCCAATAAATCGCATTTCAATTGAAATATAAAACACCTTTTGCTGCGCTTCTTTTATTTGCAGATTACGCCAGCAGCGAACAACACACTCACATCTAGTATATATATATATATA